CAGAGACTAGCTCTATCAGCCAGGTGCTGGAGTGCAGTGGCACAATCTTGGCTCACTGCAACCTCCACCTCCCGGGTTCAAGTGATTCTTCTGCCTCAGCCTCTAAGTAGCTGGGATTAGAGGTGCCTATCACAATGCCCAGCTAATTTTATATTTTAGTAGAGATGAGGTTTCACTGTGTTAGCCAAGTGGGTCTTAATTTCCTGACCTCATGATCCACCTGCCTTGGCCTCCCAAAGTGCTGGGATTACAAGTGTGAGTCACTACGCCTGGCCTGATTTTTGTATTTTTAGTAGAAATGGGGTTTTGTCATGTTGGCCAGGCTGGTCTCAAACTCCTAACCTCAAGTGATCCACCTGCCTCAGCCTCCCAAAGTGCTGGGATTACAGGCATGAGCCACCACACTCAGCCTGCAGCTTGGGCTCCAGGGATCCTCCTGGCTCAGCCTCCTAAGTAGCTGGGACTACAGGTGCACGCCACTGTACCCACCTGCCCTCAAACACCAATGCTTGCAGTCATTCTCCAAGGACTGAGGTAACATCAGCAGCTCCATTTTCCAGATGAAGAAACTGAGCCTCCTAGCCACCAACTGCTCAAGTTCAAAAACATATCTGATGGCCCCCTAAGGGCTCAGCCAGATCCCCCACTTCACAGATGATAAAATAACATCTCAGAAAGGAGAAATGGCATATTCAGCATCACTCGTTGATGCTCACAGAGTCCTTTAGGTCCGACCTAGTGGCTCACACCTGTAATCCCAGCACTTTGGGAGGCTGAGGTGGGAGAATCCCTTGAGGACAGGAGTTCAAGACCAGCCTGGCCAACATGGCAAAACCCCATCTCTACAAAAAATACAAAAATTAGCCAGGCATGGTGGCAGGTACCTGCAGTCCCAGCTACTGGGGGGGCTGAGGCAGGAGAGTCACTTGAACCTGGAAGGCGGAGGCTGCAGTGACCCAAGATGGCACCAGTACACTCCAGCCTGAGTAGCAAAGCAAGACACTGTCTCAAAAAAAAATTTTTTTTTTTTGGTAGAGACAAGGTCTCACTATATTGCCCAGGCTAGTCTCCTGGGCTCAAGCAATCCTCCCACCTCAGCCTCCCAAAGTCCTGGATTACAGGTATGAGCCACGATGCCTGGCTCAACTATTTCAAACTGATGGAACTTTTTCCAGATCCACACAAAGGAAACCATATGGGTTTGTGACAGTCAGTCCCCTAAGCATTTCCCAGCCCCAGGCACAGAATCCGAGGTCACTGACTAGAACTCTCTCAGGAACTTGGCTTCATCCTGAGACAAAAAGAGGAGACAGGCGCTCAGCCTCAGGAAGAATCCCCAGGTCTCAGCATCTTGGGACCTGCCAGGAGCAGGAGCCTCGGAGCCCACTCCCGGCCTTGCCACTCACCTCTCCACACTGTTGTGGTGGATGCAGCCGTGGGAGCCACCGACGGCATAGATGTGCCCATCGATGACCCCCACCCCGATGCGATTGCGGGGCACGCTCATGGGAGCGCAGGGCGACCACTGATTGGTCATGGGGTTGTAGCAGTCCAGGGCGCTGGAGTCGGTGTTGCCGTCAGGGGAGTTGTTCCGGCCGCCCACGGCATACAACAGCCCGCCCACCACGCAGCCGGCCAGGCCACTCCGTGGCACCTGCAGGTCCGCCAACCGGAGCCAGGTGCCATCACTAGGGTTGTAAGCCTCCAGGTAGCTAAGCGACTGTCGGAAGTAGCCGCCCGCGGTGTAGATCAGGCGGCCCACCTTGGGTGCCCGGCAGGGCATCATCTGCGTGGGCTTGTGCAGGGTGAGTTCCTCGAAGATCTTGACCAGGTAGTCCTTGCAGCGGGAGTCCGACTGCAGGATCTCACACTTCTGCAGCTGCATCTGCAGGAAGTTCGGCGTCAGCGAGTGGCAGCGCACGGCCCGCAGCAGCGCCTGGACATAGAAGCGCCGCTGCTCGCAGTCATACTTGACCCAGTTGATGCAGGCGTGGAAGACCTCGGACTCGCAGCGCACGTTCAGGTCATCCCTGCTGATGAGGGTCACCAGTTGGCAGTGGGACAGGTTGAAGAACTCCTCTTGCTTGGCCACCTGCAGAGGGCGGCAGTAGGAAGGCTGACTCCCAAAATCGCCCCTACCCCTCACCAAGCAGGACCCAGAGGACAAGTAGCTCACCACTGCCGCTGAGAGTCTCAGCTTCCTCATCTGCTAAATGGGGATCTGAATAATAGGAACCGCATACATTGTGACCATTAAATGAATTAATACTATGGGCCAGGCATGTCATCAGGACTCAGGGAAATGGGCAAAGACTCAATAGATGGTGTACCCTGCAGTATCATTTGTTTTTTGTTTCTGTTTGTTTTTTGAGATGGAGTCTCACTTTGTCACCCAGGCTGCAGTGCAGTGGCACTATCTCGGCTCACTGCAATCTCCGCCTCCCAGGTTCAAGTTATTCTCCCACCTCAGCCACCTGAGTAGCTGGGATTACAGGCGCCCACCAACATGCCCAGCTAATTTTCTTTCTTTCTCCTTTCTTTCTTTTTTTT